TGCACCTGCTTGCAGGAGCTTTGATCTGCTGAGCTACTTGGCCAGCCCTCTATTTCTTCTATCTAACTGAAACTGTACCCTTTGAACAACTTCTTCCCATTTCTCAAGCTTCCCTCCCCTGGCATCTAATAATCACTATGTCATGCTTCATGTCTATAAGTTCAACTCTTGAGATTTCACATGTAGGATCATACATTATTTTTCTTTTTGTGGATGGCCTGCTTAATTTAACACAATGTTCTCCAGGTTCATTCATGTTGTCATAAATACTAAGATTGCCTTTATTTAATGAGTTTTTATTATTATTACTTTTTTTGTGGTACTGGGGGATTGAATTCAGGACCTTGTGCTTGCCAAGCAAGCTCTTATGCTGCTGAGCTATCTCCCCTGCCCTTGCCTTCACTTTAGAAAGAACAGTATTTGCTTGTGTATGGATACTTAGCTCCTTCTTTGTTCATTTATCAGCTGATGAACCTTTAGGTTGGTTGCATGCTTTGGCTATTGAAAATAATGCTGCAAAAAATATTGGGAATGCACATCTTGGACATATTGATTTTATCTCCTTTGGATACACACACACACACACACACACACACGCACGCACTGATTCACCACATGGTGAATGCTTAAGTTAAAAAAAATTACAATGAAAAACACATTATCATTAATCCCTCTCCAATTATTCTCTTTGCTTTGAACACACTAATCCCATCTTTCTTGGTACTTTCTGGAGCAGTTGTAGAAGTCCTCTTTCGAGGTGTGATAAAAAAATATAGTGAATGCTGTTGCCGAGTGCCATCCAGTGAAAAGCAAGCTCTGCCCTACTTCCTAGATCTGGCTCCATGTGACTTCTAGTTCTTCCTTAAGGTCAAAAGGACCACGAAGGGCCAGCCAAATAGCTCAGCGGATTAAAGTGCCTGCTTAGGCAGATGCAGTGGCCAGGGTTTGATCCCCTGTTGTGCAGTGCTGGCCCTGCCCCTGGTGCACGCTGAGACAGGGATTGAGACTGGGCGTGGTGGTGCACGCTGCCTTTAATCCCAGTGCTTGAGAGGCTGAACGCAGGAGAATTACTATGAGTCCAATCTAGTAGTGAGACTCTGTAGACCCTGTACTGAAATATAAATAAATAAATAAATAAAATAAGTAAATAAAAACTACAAAAGGACTGAAAGGCAAACATTGTGAGCTGACTGAGGACACTAAGGCACATGGTGGCGCAATGACAGACGCTCAAGGGAAGTCTTCCAGAACTGCTTCTGGAAGTGGCAAGAAGGCTGGGATCAGTGCGCTCCCCTTGAAGG